AAACAAATGTATTAGCATCACGAATTATGCTCCGTAAATATAAAAATGGAGAAAGAACCAAGCCAAATAAATATCCTGATAAATTGTAGTTTTCCAATTTCTAAGGCCAATAACAAAAATATTCTTGAAAAGGAATCAATAGCCTTGTGGGATTTTACTTTTAAACGACATGAAATGGACGCGTGTGGGTGCGACTGGTTGGTGACATACGCTAGGCACGAAATACATCTACGCAGAGTGTACCAAACAGGAATTATGCTCTCCATATAGAAGATCTCCGTTAGATTAATGGCGGAGGCAACGAGAATAAACGTCTGGTAAAGCATCTAAGCATTAATTTGGGAATTGCATCGAGATATATTATACTCTCTTAAGAGCAATATGTATGATAAAATCTTGGTTTTATTCAAATGTACTCTTTTGGATCTATTGGATTGGAATTAAAAGTTGGTTGTTTAGGTTTGATAAGCCCAAATATACATAAAATATCAAAGTTCCGAAAGCAATTTCAATCGTAGTGTCACATCTTCATCGCCCACGGACAGTTGAGACTTAAGCTATAGGTGAATAATATTTAAATTGTATGCGAAACGTGTGATCATTTTCACCAATTTAACAATAGAAATACTCAAGGCTGCAATATACACGTCACTTAGAATATTGGAATGTGCCTCAAAATTGGATGTTTCATTGATATTCCTTTATGCACTTAAATGTGCAGAGTGTCTACCTAGCTTCATTAGTTGAGTGAACGGGTATCGCAATCCCCTGTTGGATAATATCAAATACGCAATTATAATGCTCTACAGACCATAATTTGCATCGTTGATTGAAAACAATCTAACAATTATCAAAGAAATATTTTATATGATAATATACCATAAAATAACCATATTCCCTCTAAAATGAGAGTTTCAAGATTAAATCACAATAAAAACTATATAGTATTAATTAGCTTCTAAAACATCCACCGATAGACTGCCATTACATTGGGCTTCACATGGTGTTCTTTATTTGACTAGAGTAAATTGTTTGTAAGTTATGAGATTTATTGAACTATCATGTGCTGTCATCACCTTGGGATCTTCCCGATAAATACTAGAAAATAAAGAAGAGAGCAGGCTTGAGGAAAGGCGATATGACGGCTAGCTCGAGGGAAATATTGTATTTTAGCTTGTCAGACTAAAAAAGCATCGTGGCATCTATGCTCAATCCCTTCTTTTGAACGATCGTTCCGTCTTACCCCACTTTCATTTTTAAGATCAAGGTCATTCAAAGGTCAAATGTCAATATCTAGATATTTGGTGATTTAATGTCATTGGGGCTGTTGTGAACCTCGGTGGCCCATGATTAAGTGAACTGAAGTCAATGTCATTCCAAGGTCAAAGGTCAGTATCTAGGTTTTTACTTTTTAATACCTAGGGGGCTGCTGTGACCCTTGGCAACTCATGATTCCGTGACCCTAAGTCAAGGTCAAGGTTTATGAGTCAAGGTCATCTCAAGGTCATTTCAAGGTCAAAGGTCAATATTTAGGTTTTTGGCGTTTCAAGGACCTTGGAGGCTGCTGTGACCCTTGGCGACCCATGATTAGGTGACTTGAGGTCAATTTCATTCCACTAGTTTGGAAACTTTTCATGTGTTAATGCAAAGAGAAGACGTTTCCCACTTAGTGTTGACCTGTGTATGAGCATAGTCGACAGGTAAATCATTGTCAACTTTTCTTAAACTTAAAACATATTAAACATTGTACCATCTTTACATGGGTAGCAAGTGCTTTCTGGAAAATCAGACTAGAACTGCTGAGGAAGCTTGAATACTACCAAAATATTCGTAATGACCATCTTTCAACGATAAACTTGGTCCAAAGAGAACCTTATAGAAATACTTTTACTAAATTGTTCCACTGCAGGCAACGGGGTATCAAATTTGAATAATGGCTGCCAATGCTCTTTGGTGAAACTGCATGTTATTCGAGAACCATCCAGCTTGTTTTGAAACCTTGCGCTTGCGGGGTCATCGCACATTATGATCATGATGTCATCAAAGCATAACTAATGGTGTCATCAAAATACAACTAACTAGTGAATAGGGTGACGATTTTTGGCATTCAACCGAAGATACCTCAAGAAAAACCAGAGATTGCCGAAGATTTGCATTGCAAACGAAGTTGGCCGAAGGTAACACGAATGTGAATCGGGGTGATGACACGTCTCTGATTGGTCAAAATCGACAAACAAAATGGCTTCCTCAAAAATTTTGAAATACGCTTCGAATAATATTATGTTCATTTCTGACGTGTTAACCACTATCGCAGCTTGTTATTTCACATTAATATCTATGAAGATGTATGGAATATGCTACCATCGATAAAAACATCACAAAGATTGTGAATAAAATCAACTTTCAGTTACCGTAATTACTAAGTCATCAGCGGGGTTTACCATAATTGTGCTTCTATGTCGTATTGAAGTCTGGAGAATTCCCACGGTAGCTATATTGTGAACCTTCTTGCTCGGAGTAGAATATCGAACGAAACATTGCTGAAGTGGGGGAGTGTCTATTTTTGCAGCAATGCTTAATTTGGAACAACGTCATGAAATACCATTCTACACAAATACTCCTGGTATTCTTTACAAATGCTATTTGAAATTTCCCAGGCAGGAATCTGTGGAAATATTCATTTACCTATATAAACCTAGAAATCGACCAGTCGTTTCTTCAAATGTTTACTTAGGCATTTAACAGATTCAATGTATAACTGTTGTTTCAGAAGCAATCTATTATGAGAAATATTTATTATTTATTTGTACTGATAGGGTTCCTGTTGCAACAGTGTCATGATTCAAGAGTAGCCATGGCATATACTGTATTTCCTGTTGAGTTAATACGACCATAACGTATATGCTCATTATGACATTATTATTATGACATAATACAAGCTCAAAACAGGAGACGCTAAAGACTTGTGCACCAAAGCATGGGCAATTGAAAGTTCATGACCAAAGTGATCAACTGAACAAAATTGAATTAACACCTAACAGCTCAAGGGCATAATACCAATGACCACTTGGATCGTATTTGGACGATTCCTTCAAGGGCATGGATGCCCATTGAATTTTTTCAGATACTTGCAATCAGAGACTCCCCACTTCGGCTCAATTTCTACGTTTTACGCCGCCCGTTGAACACCATCCATAAAAAACAATGTATAGCAAAGAGAAGCAATGTATCAGAGTACTAATTACATCATCCATTATCAATTTCGCTGTTATGATGTATGATATCTGCACCCACAACGATTCTATGATTAAACTATTTTCATCTAGCAAACATTTAAACAGGCAGATTGATAATTGGCAGACGACTCTTTAAACTCAAATCCCTCAATTACTCGTAAGATCTATTGCATCTAAAGCCAACACCCACGATCTTATAGCATCGGTTCCAAACCGGATGTGGTCTATCGAGTAATCACAATACGAACAGAAATAATACCCATTCATTTATAGAATCGCTGAACGCATTGAATTCCATAGAATCCTTGTTGGTAATAATTTATTCCTTTTATGAAGACCTTAGGGAGTGCAAATCTTTCCCTATGACCGATCATTTATGGAGATAATCATTTGGAACGGCGGGGATATCATATGTAGACCCAAATGAGGCATCGATCAAGAGAATACTGCTTAACAAACAGACAGATCGTATAATATAAATATATGCTTTTAATGTTATTCGGTACTAGCAGGCTATAGGAGGTATTGGAAAAATATGAATGTTGTCAACTATTGAAAAGGGTTAGCTTAACCCCCTCCTATGATTCTAACATCGAATAACGAAACGGCAATAATCAGACTGGTCGCCGATCGAATTTATTTGCGATAGTATAGTACTTGTCAGGCTTATGCGAGGATCACCCTTTTAGTGAAGGGGGATTTGTAACGAAAATATTAAAAAGTAAAATGAGTACAGCTACATAGACCTAACTTGTAGTGTAGTCACACGATCCTATTGGAAATAACGTAGACTTGTCATTCTGATACTCATAGCATCTGTCTGTTTCACCTGAACCAACATCCCAGGGCTGAGAAGAAATGAGATGTCATGGTTTATCATGATGTAGACTTGTAGTATACGAGATATTCCCTTTCTTATCAAATGTGTCGAGGTTCATGTATATTAATGGTTAATTAATTTCACTGAAAAATTGCCCCGGGATAAGACCACAACTACAATGTTTACTCCGAAATTCCCCTGCGATTAGACCACAATCAAAATCTTCAGTAAGAAACTGCCTCGCCTATTATACCATCATCACAGTGATCATCATTTACCAGTTTGATTTCCAAAACTTCACATCACATCCAAGATGAGTATACCACAACTAAGTCATAAATCATCGTGTATCTTTTGTTATCAAGAGATGCACGTATATGATAGTCTCTGGACGCAACTAATTGTTCTTGCTACATTTTTCCAAAACTGGTCCGATTTCTCATTGGGTAAGCTTGTTTATGATATTTAGATTTGTTTTCCTCAATTACAATTGGCCGAAAAATTGCCTTAAATATAGGCTTTAAATATTATTTGTCCTATGGGGGAGTATTTACCACGGTCTGATGTTTCAGTGTACCTCCCACCCATAGACAGAATAAGGGGGGAGGGTGCGACAATATCTTTCATCAAAATTTTTTCCTTGAGCCTTGTGATTATCCTTAATGGAGTTATAATGAGAAAGCAGTCACTAAAACAGTCAAAGGAAGCATACAGAACTGAATAGACCATGCAAATGGAATGTTTTCATACATTTAGGTAATAATCAATGATAATCAAGTCATACATTTTTAATCAAAGACCAATGACATAAAGTACCAATTAACCATTCGACAATTTAATGTTGATCAATATCCCAATTGCAGCGATCTATACAAGGTGGGATGAGAGAGAGCCTCAAGTGCATATGTAGTGTACGTATTCCCCGTTGGTGGGTGTTAACTTACCTGATAACATCGATGCTATGGCTGCGATGATAAATGAGAGAATAACACCTGGACCGGCAACCTTTTCGGCAACCAAACCCGCTACCACGTACATTCCAGTGCCGCAGCAGCTCCCTACCCCAAGTGAGGTCAAATCCAACGTTGTCAAGCATTTTTTCAGTCCCTTTTCACCGTCATCTATTGAAGGGTTTTTGATGGATTTTGTCCTGAACATTCGTCTCTTGAATTTCGATGTATCAAAACTAAAGTCGGGATTTGTAAGTTCGTCGGAGCCATTACCGGTTGTCGTGGCCATATTTCCTTTTCCGTGTAAAAATAACTTTCGACTAATCCACTTTAAATCAGCTGAATTTTGAAGTCTATTTGCTACACATGTCTTAGATTTGTCCTCTCTTGGTTACGTGTATCAACGTGAGGTCTAGATTGCGTCTCAGCCAATGCTCCTTTGCATGATTATGAAATTGGTAGTTTCCCAATACAACTATTACTAATGCAGTGGATTATTGTCATCGTAGATTTAATCCAATATACACTTCTGAATGGTACCACTTTAGCACTGTGTCTGTCAATATTCCTGTTTTACGGAAATCAACTTACTCATTGGTACTAGCTGCAAAACAGATTTTGAATTGTTTGGATCCCCACGAAGATATTCCAATATGTACGATATTGTTTTTGTGCACTGGTATGTGGAGCAGTTTTGTTAAACCCCATGAAGCGCATGATGGTCGTTATATGGTAGCACCCTATTAACCGATTCATAATTTATGCATCCATTTTGTCATGATAGTGCTTGTTTTTCAAGATCTTATGTCTGTGAATTTCGTGATTTATTGGAGGACCTGTATTATTGCAGTTTCATTTGGCTCTCTGTTTAGTATCATGCAAAATCAATGTATATGTCACCTCCACTGGTGAATGGACTGTCGATAGTTCTGATTCATTACATGGCCTTGATAGTTTCTACATTTATTCCATTGAAACAAGGTTCAAAATAATTCGGGTTGGTACCGGTTAGTTAGTTTTTGGCCATATTTTGTCTCAATGATTCAGTGGTTTTATGCTAACTTTAGTCTTGATCTGGTATGTTCTTTTTTACGATCCTGTGATCTTATGTCTGTTTAGGATGTAGAATGAAGGAAAGAATGAAGATGAGTTAACATTTCAGTTTAATATCTAATACTGTTTTTTTCCTTGCATGCTAATTTCTTTAACTACTGACCTAGCTCAATCAAAGATTCAATTCTATTATCTGAAATCTAACAGGCTTTTACTTTTTCAACAAATCAATGAGGTTTAGTCTAAAACTATTGAATCTCAGAGTAAATCATCAATTTTGGATTGAACCAGTGATTTTATAGACATCTTAGTCATAGGTGCCTTCAAACGTAGTATATCCATGACTGACACATACACACATATTGTCGATCATTGTACATTTTAATTAATATGGAAGTCAATGGGTGTATAATTGAATGTCGACATTGTAGATATTGAATTATTCTGAATCACAGAGATGACAGTATCATCCATAGCTTTCGGTCGAATGACGTAAACGAGGATGCCATCCATAAACAAGGCATTAACATGACAAAATGTCACCACCTAAAACAATTTGGTCAATTTAAAGCAAGTTGGAAAATACCTTTTGACCTTAAGAAGGTTTGATTTGAACTTCTTAGAACATGTAGATGATTTTGAAAAAAAAATTCGTCAATTTGAAGCAAGTTGAAAAAATACCTTTTTGACCTTTTCAAGGTCATTGAAGGTCAAATGTCAAATCTAAAGTCAGATTTGAACTTCTGAGAACATGTAGATGATTTAGAAAAAAATTGAAGTCAATTTGAAGCAAGTTGAAAAAAGACCTTTTAGACCTTGAGAAGGTCATTGAAGGTCAAAGGTCAAATTTAAAGTCAGATTTGAACTTCTGAGAACTTGTTAAGTCAAATTTGAACTTCTGAAAAGATGTAGATGATTTTGAAAAAAAAAATTGGTCAATTTGAAGCAAGTTGAAAACAGACCTTTTTGACCTTTTTTGACCTTGAGAAGGTCATTAAAGGTCAAATGTCAAATCTAAATTCAGATTTGAATTTCTGAGAACATGTAGATGATTTCGAAAAAAAAAATTAGTCAATTTGAAGCAAGTTGAAAAAAGACCTTTTTGACCTTTTTTGACCTTGAGAAGGTCACTCAAGGTCAAATGTCAAATCTAAAGTCAAATCTAAAGTCATATTTGAATTTCTGAGAACATGTAGATGATTTTGAATAAAAAATTTAGTCAATTTGAAGCAAGATGAAAAAATACCATTTTGACCTTTTTTGACATTGAGAAGGTCATTGAAGGTCAAATGTCAAATCTAAAGTCAGATTTGAATTTCTGAGAACATGTAGATGATTTTGAAAAAAAAATTTAGTCAATTTGAAGCAAGTTGAAAAAAGACCTTTTTGACCTTTTTTGACTTTGAGAAGGTCATTGAAGGTCAAATGTCAAATCTTAAGTCACATCTAAAGTCAGATTTGAATTTCTGAGAATACATAGATGATTTTGAAAATTTTTTTTAGTCAATTTGAAGCAAGTTGAAAACAGACCTTTTTGACCTTTTTTGACCTTGAGAAGGTCATTGAAGGTCAAATGTCAAATCTTAAGTCAAATCTTAAGTCAGATTTGAATTTCTGAGAACACGTAGATGATTTTGAAAAATTTTTTTAGTCAATTTGAAGCAAGTTGAAAGCAGACCTTTTTTGACCTTGAGAAGGTCATTGAAGGTCAAATGTCAAATCTAAAGTCAGATTTGAAGGTCAAATGTCAAATCTAAAGTCAGATTTGAATTTCTGAGAACATGTAGATGATTTTGAAAAAAAATTTAGTCAATGTGAAGCAAGTTGAAAAAAGACCTTTTTGACCTTTTCAAGGTCATTGAAGGTCAAATGTCAAATCTAGTCAGATTTGAACTTCTGAGAACATGTAGATGATTTAGAAAAAAATTGAAGTCAATTTGAAGCAAGTTGAAAAAAGACCTTTTTGACCTTGAGAAGATCATTGAAGGTCAAATTTAAAGTCAGATTTGAACTTCTGAGAACTTGTTAAGTCAAATTTGAACTTCTGAAAAGATGTAGATGATTTTGAAATCACTTTCAATCACACAATGCACTTTTTAGTAAAAATATTAATTTGCAACAAAAAAGGTCAATATCCAACACTTTGGCCCTCAGAGACATTTCAAACGATTTGAAATGATATCATACATGATCATTTTAAAATTTGAATTTAGGGAAAGTTCAATTCAATCAAACCGTAAGTTTAGAAGCATAAGCTTGGAGTCATTTTATGAATAGATATAGGCTATTGTTTTGATAGGGGAATCTTTGCCAGCAGGCCTTGCAATATATTCCTGATTGGGGTGAAAATTCTTGTCTGCTGTCTTAAATATCAAGTTTGATTAATTTTTTGCCCTTAATTAACTTTTTGTGTTCATGGACGTCAAATTACTCCTTTTTAAAGGATGTATCTTCTCAAGTAATTTGAGTGGATTCCAATACCGTATGGTTTTATTCCCATGGCGTTGCATGTCAAAATTATTTCTGGAAATACAATTCAATAACAATATAGAGTAGCGATAGAAAAATAGGAGGGACAATAATAGCCTTTACTTTAGTCTTGCTACACTCTTTGTCATCAAAAACAAAACTAGAAACAAAATACGTCTCGCATTGCCAATATGGGTTCACATGGCCTATTGGGCAGTCTACCTTTGAGAATGCGCTCTTCGTATCCATCTGGAGGTTCTTTCTCATCTTTAATATGGGTTCTCATGATCTAAGGTAGTGTTACCATGAAGAAGTCGTTTTCTATAGTATCCAGCAGATTCTTTCTCATCGGTAATCAGTCAGGCTCGCTAAGTGCGTCAATATTCGAAAATAAAAATCTCAAATCGTACACTTTAATTTCCAAAATAATTTGTGAGGTGGTTATTGAGATGATTACACATTTTGACGTATTTATTCTGAGTACTCAAATCCATTGTCAACAGAGCTTTCACGAAATAAGCATTCGAAATGTTTGAGTTCGGGGTGATAAAAATACGTTAAGATATACCACTCCTTAACAGATTCTTTTGGGAACAAGATATACAATCAAAAGCTTATTCTTCTTATTAACTCACTGACACATGTCAACGAATGTTACATAAGTAGATATCTCCGTTCTAAGTGATTTTGTAAACTTTGTTCTACAGGTGCCATTTTTATAATCGAACAACAACAAAAAACTTTTTGCATTTCTAAATTAAATTGATAAGTTTCTTGGAATACAAGATGACTGTAAAGTGTAAACGATCGCGATTTTAGTTATTAGACTCCAGATGAAATCTGGAGTCTATTGTTTTCGTCAGTTTTCTTCTTCTTCTTCTTCTTTTTCTAAACCAGTTTTCTCAATAACCATAAGGTCTTCAGTGAAGTCAATCATTTGGTCAATTTAGGTCCAGTATCTAGTTCCTCGGAAATTGGGTCAAATTTTTATCTAGGTCAAAGGTCAAGAACTAGGTCAAATCCAGTACTTTGTCACTTTTTTCGATTTTCTCGGTCGTCCTTCAATATTTTCGATCCGGTTTTTTTTCATTGTGTTCCTTATAAAAAAGTAGGAAACCTAGGATCGATTTAGGTTTTTGATATCTCAAACCGATTTCGAGATATCAGTGTCCGAAAACGAGGTCCAAAAAAAAGTTCTTAGGATTCCGAATCTGAAAACCAAATTCGAATCAGACTTCCGGTTAGGAAGTTATGGCGTTTTGAAAGCTCAAAAATCGCAAAATTTGGAGCCCATGTTAAGTCAATGGGAAAAAAGATTTTTTTGAAGTGAAAAATACGAAATATAGACTGAGTTCAGCTAAATATAATGAAAGCTTTTAAAAGAATGGGACCTCAAAAGCCATCTAGCTTTAAAATTTGGACATCAAAATGCCTAGGTCAGAATCTAGGTCAAATTCAAAGTTTTTTCTTATTTTTGCGATTCTGACACTACAGATTAATTATATTCTTCGAAATTTTGTATACATGTAGCCAACAGTGTGCTAATAGTGTTAGCCTTTTGCCGTCAGAAAGTATTTTGCCCCACTTTTGAGATATGGTGTCCGAAAAGTAGGTCAAAATAAAAAATTCTCCAAATTTGACGTTTGAGTTATGAATTAAGTATAGAATTTTCTCAGGAATCCGAATCTGCAAACCAAATTTCAATCCGACTTCTGGTTCGGAAGTTATGACATTTTGAAAGCTCAAAAATCGCTAAATTTGGTCCCCCATGTTATGTCAATGGAAAAAAAATACAAGATATAGACTAATTACAGCTTAAAATAATGAAAGCCTATGAAAGAAGGGAACCTCGAAGGCTACCTAATTTCAAAATTTGGACACCAAAATCCCTAGGTCAAAATCTAGGTCAAATTCATAGTTTATCCTTATTTTTGCGATTCTGACACTACACTTTAATTATATTCCTCGAAATTGTGTATACATGTAGCCAAGAGTGTGCTAATAGCGTAAGCCTTTTGCCGTCAGAAAGTATTTTGACCCACTTTTG